TCTGTTTCTTAGTTTAGGTTGTTTTCTGTATATTTTTAGTCTTTTGTTAATTTACCTTTACATTCCTGTTAATTAAACATTATTTAATTTATTCCATTTTACATCTTGGTTTTATTTTTGTTACTTCCCTCACCCCAAACGAGCTGGGTTGTAACAACACTGACCTCAAACTTGACCTCTGACTCTTATTTGTCAGTTTCTGTTCTCTGTCTTTGTATCATGAGAGAAAAAATAAGTTTTTGTGCAAAAGCAAAAGGCAGAAACAGTGTGTGTTTTGTTTGCGATTTAGTTCATAAATATATTTTATTTTAAAATCCAACCTCTGGCCTCCTTCGTTTTGTTGTGGTCTTGGCACAGGGTCTGAACACATTCAATAAATATAGTTTTGTATTCAATTATACTTAAGTTATCTTTAAAGTGAAAGTGTTGTGTGTGTAACCGGGTGGTCATCATCATCTTTATTCCGAACTTATGGTCCATTTAAAAAAAAATAAAACAACAAAAACACAGACAAGGACAGTGACAATACAAAACAATAAACATTCATGTTTTTTAAAAGATCTTATTGCACTGAATCTTATATTTGTGAGTGACATTATTATTTCATTGTCTGATTTGTTCAGTCTGCAGATAAAACTGTACATTAAAATTCTTAGTGCAGCTTGCAAAGTGTTCACTCGAGCAGTAACAAACATTTGAATCCATAAAGCGTCACTGTAAACACCTGCAGTCTTTGCAAACTGGCTTTTTTATAATTAGTCCAGAGGTGAGCTGTGCACAACGCTGTACAATATGATTTAAACAAAAACACCTTTACATCATTTGTACAAGAAGCAAACTTATGCATAAGAATATTTGCCTGAGCACAGAGCGTCCTACACTGTCTGTACACATCATCATCATCATCTGTCATGTCTGCACTGATGATCTGCCCGAGATATTGAATTTTTGTTGTAACAGACAACACAACATTTGACAGACAAAAGTCAGGAAATCTCATGTGCTTATCTTCTTTGGTCCTACAGATCATGACCAGACTCTTGGTTGCATTATACTTTAGATCATGCTCCACACTGTGAGCTGAACACATGTTAAGTATCTGCTGGAGACCAGAGGTGCTTGGACTAAAAACAACCAAATCATCTGCAAACATTAAATGATCCTCACAACAACATTTCCAGCCACACAACAAAAACTAAGGTTTTAAACAGGTTCAAGAGTCACATTATACATTAGTGTAATTCATATTCATAAAATTAATATTTAATTGCATCAATCATAACAGATATCAACATTAAGACATAAAAGCAACATTAAAAAACACATCGCACATTATGGATAAAATAATAATTAAATTTATGAATATGCCTATATGTATGTAGACTGTCAACCTGTCAACCTGTTTTTGTGCACCTGTTTTGTCTGCCTCCAATTTCCTCCAGTCTTGCTATTGGTTGATGTGTTCTATTTGAAGGCCACGCCCAGGCTTTGTTCTTAATTAAGCCCTGATGAAGACCAGTTGAGGTCGAAACATGTTGGCTTTGGCCATTCAAATAAAGGCCTTTTAATTATATTTTTCCTCGTGCGATGTGTTTACTTTTTCTACTGTTTTGGAGTGCCTGGAATCCGTTGTGTCTTGAGTCTTGATCCTTTTTTCCAAGAGCACCCTCTTTGCTCCTACTGATTGGAACACCTGTAGCAAACAGCCACATTTTTGGTCTTTAAGCTGTTTTACATGTTCTAAGCTTTGGTGACAATTAATCTAGATACAAATTAAATAAAACTGGGGACAGAATCCCCCCATCTGACCCCATTGCTGACCCTAAAAGGGGCAGTCACACTGTTTCCCCATTTAATCTGCATTGTCTGCTCTTCATACCAGTACATCAAAAAACACTAACAATGTATTTGGGCATACCCTTTTGAATCATCTTCACAAATAGTTTCTGGTGATTCACCCTATCAAATGCTTTGGATCCATCTAAAAAAAAACACATAAAAACTGATGAATCCTGCCTCTTGTATTTAGCAATAATCTCTTTTAGACCATACACACATATCTGTGCCCAGCAGAGCCTGAAACCCAAACTGGGTGTCTGTAGATTTAATAAATTGTGAGATCCTGTCCAGGATTACTTCAATCATTTTTGACACTATGCTGGCCAAAGCTATAGGTCTGTAATTGTCAGAACTGCCAACTTTCCCAATTTATCTTTAATGACAGGGAGTAGCAACACAGTTAACACAGAGTCAGGTAAAAATCCATGAACAAGAAAAGCTGTAAAACAGATGGAAGCAGTGGTGCTAACCTCACACTTGCAAATTTTAGATGCTCTGCTGAAACACCATCCTGCCCACTAGCCTTATTATTAGACAGTTTGGTGATAGCTTCAAGAACTTCATGTAACAGAATTACATCTGCATAGTCAACATCATTCAAAATACAAGGGTCACTCTGAACACACTTAAATAAGCTCCTGTAATGCTGACGCCAAAGCTCCAAAATGTTCTCAGTGCCAGAGGTGCATCTATTGCACACGGCAGTGACGATTTTCTGGCAGTCATGCTTTTTACTTCTTTCCAGAAGTCCAATGTGTTGTTACAAGAGTTTTCTTGCCATTGAGTCTGCTCTCATGGCGTGTTCATTCTTGGTTATAAAACACACAGCATACTTATATTGAGCATTTGTGACCCTCTTTTGTTCATAAACAGGACCATGTCTTGGTCCTGTTTATGAACGGTTAGACTTTTCTCTGACTGTAGTGTGTCCGTGAATGCGTCCACCTGCGGGTCGCTGTGCGTGGCTCCCGGCGTCACTGATTACTGATTAGAAAGGCTGCACACGCCGTAGTGTGGCAGTCGGGGCTTTCGGTGGCTTGTGAACGTGGCGCGTGTGAGTACTGGAGTTGTTCCTTCAGTGTTTCTCTTTGAACTTTGTTTTAATGCCTTGTTCCTTGTGACTACTTTTAAAGGTGTTGTGTGGAGCAGGTGGTGACATCGGCCGCTCCTAACGCTCTCCCGGCCCAATGTAGAGTACACCTGTTCTAGAATCCAGGTAGAGGCTCTGGGTGGTGGCGTTTGACTTCGTGTGTGGTAATCGGTGTATTTCTATGTGGCAGATTACGTTGCTGCTGTTGGTTTTTGCTCTCAAATGCTCTTGAAATAGTCTTATTCTCTCAGTCTGATTCCATATTTCCTTTTATCTGCAGTTAGAGTGTAGTTTTTATAGTGTGTGTATTTATTGGCTGGGGTGGGTTGTGCAATAGTGGATAGTGCAACTAGCAGCACCTTGTACTTTAAAACATTTAAAGTCTCAACATTCAAACCACGCACCTAGCACTTTACATCTAAAAGAAAATACTATAGCAAATTTGTATGTATAAACAGATATTTGCACTGCACTAGCACTTTGGTTCTTGACTCCTGGGATTCAACTAGTTGTCTTGGTTTGATTAATTTTTCTTTTTGGATTACTAATATTGTTTTTGTGAGATTTGGTTTTACTTGTGTCCCAGATTTTAGCTCCAAATTGTTGTTAAATGTGTACTTTTTATTTAAAAAAAAAAAAAAAAAGTGTAAAATGAGCTGTTTTAATATTAACTAAAATAAAGAATTGTATATTTTTCCACTATGTAATGCTTTTGTCCAGTGTTTCAGCCAGACTCACCTGTGGGTCTGGTCAAGTGGTAACGGAGGGAAACGGGCAGATTTTTGACATTCAAATGTCTCTTATTCAGAAACTAGAGGAACTATTGAAATAAGTAAAGTATCAGAATGTAGGAAAGAGTTACACTCCAACAGGGTCAAGTTAAACCTGTGATATTCTTTCAAGTTGTTGACAAAAATTTTTAAAAACTCATGTTGGTAACGGAGGGAATGAAATATGCAGCACTTTTTGGGCAATAAATCCAAACAGTGATAACTCTTGGTTCTCACTTCCATATCCTTAACAAACTGGTTTGAATATTTGCTTCATATAGTTTTCTACCATATGGTACAAGATTAGGTTGAAAAACCTCTTACTTTTTCAGTCATGAGATTTTTTATTAAGAAAGGTCATGGTAATGGAGGGAAAAGTAACAGAGGGAAAATCTGACATGATTTTCAGGTCTTTGAAATTTGGGAAATAATTTTTGTTCCATATTTCACACATGGTCTGTTTAAAACGGATGGAACTTTAGAACCAAAAATGGTACAGAAAAGTCAGTTTCATAAACTAGAGTACATATGCATCTGTTCAATACATTTTTATATCAGATGCATTAACTTGAATTTTTGCCCCCCCACCCCACATGTGTATTTCTTCATACTGTACACACTGTACTGCAAAGTCACTTGTGTCAAACTGTTTCACTGTGTAAGTGTCACTGCACGATCCTGATCAACACTAAACAGGAAATCCAAAACTCTTCTAGATCATTTCAAACACACACATGACGACTGGAGCTTGGTGACGTGTTTTTCTTGGATGGAAGTCTGAAGAAAATCAAACAAATCATGATCATGTTAGTTTCTGCCTTTTGCTTTTGCACAAACTTATTTTTGTCTCATGATACAAAGACAGAACAGGAACTGACAAACAAGGGTCAAAGGTCAATTTTGAGCTCAAGATTTTACACATTTGGGAGCCCTGCCTATTCTACATTTGTCTGGACAAAACAAACTCTGAAGTCATTTTTCTCAGTTTCTCACTCTGGAGAATTAGGGGCTTTTGCTTTTGTAGTGCAGTGTAGGATCACCTCCATGTTTTTGATGACGTAACATGACTTAAAGCCCACATGAGTCAGTTTTTTGTGTAATAGGACCTTTTAACAAACCCAGCAAATGAAGAGCCGCGGGAACCTAGAGCTGACCCCCTCTGCCATTTCAGTCCAGAAAGTAGCTAATAATGACGTAAAACCTACAAGAGTATCCATTCCACTGTCAATAAATGAAAACATAAATAACAGCTTTCCTCCTCTTCGAGAAACGAGAAGCACAGGGTCAGAAGAGTCACGCACCTGCACATGAGCGTCGCCACCTCGGGGGAGCACGCCGTCTCCACGATCTGCCCGACCTCCCGCAGGCTGTACCCGGACACTCCTGTGGGGCTGCCGCTGGTGGAGTAGCCCACGGCCCCGCAGAACGACGCCTGGAGCGGCCTGCAGTTGGGCTTCGACTCGGCCCCGCGGAGTAAACACAGGCACAGAAAGATGACTGCTGCTCGGGGCATGTTTGAACCCTGGTCTAGTCCTGGTTTAGACCTGGATGTGCCCTAGTTTAGGTATTTTTAGTCCCGTTTATAGTTCTAATTTGACCCTACCTTGCCTTGATTCAGTCCAGATTTCATTTACATCTAGTTTAGTCCTAGTTTAATCCTCTGTCCTGCTTTAGTCCTGCTTCTGTCCTAGTCCAGTCCTAGTTTAGTCCTGGTTTAGTTCTGCTTCACTCCTGGTTTCGTCCTGTGAAGTTTCAGTAAAATCCTGCATAACTTGGAGGTGGAGTGGGTTTGGACGAATAGAAAACTAGAAATAAATTGTGGAAATAGAGGCTCTCAGCAGGAGATGGGTCAAAGGGGGACAATGTGTTTCTAATTAGACCCAGAACACGCTGCATCAAGCCAAAAGACACGGTCATTACAGGAAGGACTAATGTTCTAAACAGACCGGCCGATTGTGAAATTCAACAGGGCTGAACTGAGTTGATGGACTAAAGCAGGACTAAAGCAGGACTAAAAAACACTTTGGTAACCCTTTTTTTTTTTTTTACTCTCCCCTAATTACTGTGTCTACCGGGTAATAAGGTAAAAAAGAGAAGTTACATGGTACTTAACAGGTAAAAAATAATGGTAACTACCTATAATGGTAAGTAAATGATAAGTAATTGCCTAGAAATATCTCAAGTATTACTATGAAATAACTCTGTATTATTGGGTAATTACTGGTGCTTTATGATGTAACTGGGTTAGATTCAAATGTCTCTTATTCAGAAACTAGAGGAACTATTGAAATAAGTAAAGTATCAGAATGTAGGAAAGAGTTACACTCCAACAGGGTCAAGTTAAACCTGTGATATTCTTTCAAGTTTTGACAAAAAAAATTTTTTTAAAACTCATGTCGGTAACGGAGGGAATGAAATATGCAGCACTTTTTGGACAATAAATCCAAACAGTGATAACTCTTGGTTCTCACTTCCATATCCTTAACAAACTGGTTTGAATATTTGCTTCATATAGTTTTCTACCATATGGTGCAAGATTAGGTTGAAAAACCTCTTACTTTTTCAGTCATGAGATTTTTCAGTCATGAGATTTTTTATTAATGTAATGTTGTGACCGAGAACCCTTATTTACTCACAGAATCCGTTCTGGCATAAAAAAGGACAAGGACAATGTGGTATAAAAGTTACACCTCTTTATTTAAATCTTCTAAACATAAAAAAATATATTTCATTTTCTGGTTTCCTTCTTGATACAATTACACACCACTCAATTGTCAAATGTAGGACTCAAACAACCCAAACTAAAACACAACAAATCTAATTAATAATCCAAACCAAACATTAATACCAAAAAAACAAACACTAGTTGAACCCTACATTTATAATAAGTTAAAGTGCAGGTGCACTGTAAACCTGGATAATGTAATAATACTTAAAGTGTGCGTGTGCTAAGGTGTCTGAGGTAGACTTCGTTACAATAAAGGGCATAAAATTCCAGCTGGTGAAAGTGCTCGTGCTAAGGAGGCCTATTTGGACTAAAGTGACTTGTGCCAACCCTGAGACCTGACCTCGCATTGCACTGACCCCCTGACCAAATATTGCACTTCCCTCCAAGACCTCGGCTACTGTTAATCAATATTCAATTAAAACCAACACGAAGAATAAGATAAAGAATAAAGAGCAAGAATAATGCAGCAGTGGCAATCTGTTACACAGGGAAAAATAAATTAGCTTCAGGGAGACCATGAGCGACCACCACCCCAGATATACAACCAAAGAGCATTTACCACAAGTTTAGAAGAGGGAGGGGGGCGCTCTACATGGGGCTCGGAGCGCTACGAGCGGCCGCCGGCACCACCGCCTACTCCAGACAACCTTTAAAATGTAGTCTGACACATCGAGTTAAAGCAAATTCTATAAGAAATATTGAAAGACCAACTCCGGTACTTACACGCGCTGCCTTCAGAAGCCAAAGAAAGCCCCGACTGCCTCACCACGACGTGCGCAGCCTTTTCTAATCGCGTAATCAGTGACGCCGGGAGCCACGCGCAGCGACGCACAGGTGGACGCACTCACGGACGCAACACAGCAGGACAACATACTTTAATCACCCGGTTACATTAAGAAAGGTCATGGTAACCGAGGGAAAATTGTGCAAGCAAGAAGAAGAAGGTGCATGATTTTACATAATTTGTCAGTTTTTCTCTTCCAAATACTTTAATATTACTTCAAAATGAAAGGAAACTATTTCTATAAAATATGTCAGTCCTTCCAAGCAAATTTTTATCATTTTAAATACTTTTTTTTTAATTTTTATTATTAACTATGAACTATTTGAACTAATTGAATTGTGTCCATAATTATTGGGACCCATTAAGCCCTGTCATGTATGCTCTTATTTGCTATCCTAGCATGTCCATGTCTTTGTTATACTGTTGCCAGTTGTCAAGAGGGACTGGTTGTGACTTTTAATAAATTCACCACAAATCAGAGCCTCTGCCATCATTTTTCTATTTTACAGAAAGCTAATGATGAAATTACTCTGTAAAAAGAGATAACATACTACCCATTTACCTGGTAGGTTACTCCAGTATCACAGGAAAGACTAATAGTGTTTCAAAGAAATTACATCCTCTATTCCTCTTTAATGTAGATGATAAAGGTTTACCGTATTTTCTGCACTATTAGGTGCTCTGGATTATAAGACGCACTGTCATTAAATGGTCTATTTTTGAACGTTTTTCACAAATAAACCATGTGGGACTTTAAAGGAAACACAACAGTGTGATGGGTGAGTGGTTTTGTTTGTTTGTTTCGTTCACGGTGACACTGGGCTTTGTTCAGTTGTGGCGTGTAGGGAGGGTGCTGTCTGGGGCCGCTGGTTTGTCAGCGTGTTCGCAGTGACTCAGTTGTTCAGTTGTGTCTAGAAGTGTCACATTGCACTCGCTTTTTTTGGTTCATTCCTCCGTTCCGTTGCTCGTCAGCGTGGAGTGATGAGTGTGTCTGAGGGTGTTTTTCACCGCACGGTCGCTGTCTGCTAGGTGTGTGTTTGCATGTTCTGCGGGTGGTGCAGCTTTGTAGTTTACTGAAGTCGTGCTGGGACACCCGAGTGGATTCGTGTATAGGGCGCTCTGGATTGTGGGGCGCAGTCCTGTTTTGATGAGGTTAGAGGTTTAAAATTGCATCTAATAGATCTGAAAATACAGTAAGTGAATAATTACTTATACTAATTTAATTGCTCCAATGAGGTTTATTTGGTCTTCCGATAATTTATGTTATTAGGTTCTTTGTTCAGACCAAGAGTTTGTTTTCATGTCTGACAGTTTGGACTGCTCACTAGTGCTCTTCCTCAGAGTGGTCTCGTGATGTTGCTGTGACGTGTCTGATCAGTTGATTTAAACAGGTTTAAATCAACTGACCGGGTTTAAAAACCTGTATAAATCAGCTGACCGATACGTCACAGCAACATCACGAGACCACTCTGAGGAAGAGCACTAGTGAACAGTCCAAACTGTCAGACATGAAAACAAACTCTTGGTCTGAACAAAGAACCTAATAACATAATTGAATTGCTTAGTAAGAAGTGGGTAATACAGTAGAAAGAACCCAGACTTTCTTTTACAGTTCAGTTTAATTTTATTTACTTGGTAAATAAACATGTGTAGCCTGGTAACACTGCAGATGGTAAAGGCTTTGATGGTTGGAATGAACACCATGGTGACTTCACACTTCTCCTGTACTTACCAGTCTGCAAGAATTAAGACGATACATCCTACTGGCATTGTTTGAGCAGTTGTTTTGTCAGGTAAGTATGACATATAATCACACAATAAATGGGTAGGGGCTGAAAAAGCAGCAGTCCTATTTGTAATTAACTGGAAACAACAATGAAAAACTGTTATAACTATGAAGGACCCTGAAAGTAAAGAGGAATAACAGATGTAGTTTGTTTAAAACACTACTAACTGATTATATGTAGTACTTACCTGACAAAACACCTGCTCAAACATTGCCAGTAGGATGTATATTCTTAATTCTTGCAGATTGGAAAGTACATGGTAAGTACAGGAGAAGTCTGAAGTCACCACGGTGTTCATTCCAACCATCAAAGCCTTCACCAAGTAAATAAAATTAATGCCAACATTCCAGCGGTCCCAGACTGCACTTTGTTCGGTTGTGGCGTGTAGGAAGGGTGCTGAGTCACCGTGAACGTGCCAAACAAAGTTCCACTGACCCATCCAACTGTTGTGTTTCCTTTCAAGTCCAGTGCGGTTTATTTGTGAAAACATAGACCATTTAAAGACAGTGCAGAAAATACGGTAAACCTTTACTACCTACATTCTGCAGTGTTACCCTGAAAGTAAAGACAAACAGAGGATGTAGTTTCTTTGAAACATTACTAATCTTTCCTGGAAATTGCTCGATTTTGTGCAGTTATTACAAATCAAAACAGCACATAAACTAGTAACTTGATATGGTGTGATATTGGAGTAAACTACCAGGTAAATGGGTAGTATGTTATCTCTTTTTACAGAGTAATTTCATCATTAGTTTTCTGCAGTTACCATCATAAAGCACCAATAATTACCCATTAGTACAAAGTTATTTCATAGTAATACTTGACATATTTCTAGGCAATTACTTATCATTTACTTGGTAGTTATCATTATTTTTTACATGTTAGGTACCATGTAACTTCTCTTTTTTACCTTGTTATTACCTGGTAGACACATAGTAATTAGGGGACAGTAAAAGAAAGGGTTACCAACACTTTTACTGACAACTGAACCAAAATTAAGTCCAAAGAAAGAGGCATCTTTAAGAAATTATAAAAATACATTTTATTATAGAAATAATAAAAAAAACAACGACACACAATTCAAGTAAAATATACACAAATTCACAATCCAGGGTTTAAATAAGACATATGAGTTTGACCGGTAAAGGAGGGAGAGACTTTGGGCCCCTGAGTGGAATATGGTGTACAGCAATATATATGTAATATAAGACAGGGCTGGGCAAACTTTTTGACTCGTGGGCCACAAAGGGTTCTAAAATTTGACAGAAGGGCTGGAACAGGACCAGAGGGATGAAGTGTTTTGGTAATCCACCTCATAAAAGAAAAAAAATAACATGGGATATGTAGAAAACCTGAGCTTGAATTTCAATAGAAAATCATTACAAAGCATTACAACAAAATATCTGTTTTTCAAGTCCCACAGTGTTTACTGAAATTACTTTTAAAACACTGAAAATTAAATTAATAAAATACAGCTTTTATAAAATTCTGACTAACATTTACTATTTTAAAGCACTGAAAGTTCTCCTCCTGACTCTTTATTTCAAAAACGGTACAAAATGCAGATCTACTTCAGTTCACTGTGTGTCCCCAAAACTCAACAACGACCAGCGTCAGAACGGAACAGTGACAGCGTGCCAGTCTGCCAGCAACGCGTTCTATTTGATCTGGTGCACATAGTTTATAATGAGAACGTACAGTTACATGTACCTGCACAGCTGAACAGAAATGACATGTAACATGTAAATGCATTTTTACATAATAGCAGAGAAACTCACTTTTGATTTCAGTGGGAACAGTGTTGTTGGTGTCCCTTTTTATCCAGACCATCCAAAGTCTGGAGTTAGTTTTGTTGTGGCCATTTTCAGGATGCGTTCATGTGATGTCGGAATGATCGTAAAAAATGACTTCACATGATTCACAATTCACACGCGTCTCATGTCGGAAAAACAACGGCAAGTCGGATCTTTCGACACCACATGAATGCAACATAATACGCCACACCTCAACAAAGGTCGATGTATCTAGAGTCCGCCATCTATACACGCATCAAGAATCTCAGACTTCCAGTCATTGTGCAATGCATACTGGGAAGGATGTTCGCTGCAAAATCAGGATGATTTAGACAGTCAAATGTTTCCTTTTTGGTCCTTCCTGTGGATCAATCCTGCCCATCACCTTCACCTTTCACTATTTTTCAATTCCGTTGGGAAGAGAAACAGTTTGAACAGAGGTTTACAGTCACACACATCTGATTCCCTTTTGCATCTATGGAGTTTGCAAACACATTTCTCGAGCCGTTTTCTGGTGTTAGGATCCAACAACCACACAATTACAATGTCCGAATCCCAAAACTAAAATATGACAATATCAGAACCAGAAACAAAAGTGATATGGTTCAAAAGACCTAAAAAGAATGACTTTGTCAATAGACACATCCCACTGTAAAATCAAACATGGTCCGAGATTCCTTATGTGTGTATTAGGAAACACCAGAATTGCAGGAAAAAAAAAAAAAAACCTTCACAAGGTTTATTATTATAATTTATTCAAGTTTGGTGGGCCGGATTAAGGTTTAAAAGGCCACATACTGCCCCTGAGCTCAACAATTTGGGAAAAATGTTCAATTGTAATTTTTCTGACAAGCGTTGCACTTTTAATTGGATTTGGAATTTGTTTTAATAATGTGATTCTGTTCAAAGCTCACATTTTAAATACATCCACACAAAATGACAAAAAGACAAACTGACAAACGACTGTAATTTCCGGACTACTGAGCGCACCTGAATATCCGCCGCATCAACTAAATTTTAAGATTTATTTATTTATGTTTGTCTATAAGCCGCAGGTATCCACGTCTTCAAGAACGTTTTCAAGTTGGAGCTGTCTGCTTTTATCCCGTCTGAAAGCTTTTGTCGATTTTTTTTTTTTTTTTTTTTTTTTTTTGAGTCATTTCGTCATGCTGCCATCGCCAACGTCTCAGAAACGACTCGCTGACGCCGAGCTCACGTGCAGCAGCTCGATTTCCTTCTCCCACAGTCACATCAGTTGCCTTTAACTTAAAGGTTGTGTAGAGGATTTTTAAGGAAAAAGAAATACAGCGACAGAACTTTTTCAAATGTTGTGCATGTGTGACACCACCTTCCTCCTCCACTGCTCCCTCAGTAGAAACACCTCCTCCCACCTCTTTACTCTAGAAATCACACTTGTTTACAGCCGTGCACATTCAAGAATTACAGTTGAAGTGACCTGTCTAGAAATAATTTAGTGACCGATGCGTCAGTTTTTAGACCCTTCGTCTGCTTCATTCGCGCAATCGCTGGAAGAGATCTCCAAGAATCACCTCAGTTTGGCTTTGCTCATTTTCTCCTTCTCTTCGTCTTTCAGCAACCTCAAAAACTGACTTTCTTTTGCCGCCATCGCAACAAAGTTTGTGTGAAATGCAAGGAAGCTACAGTTAAAAAAATCCGAGAACGTAGGGAGTTTTATTGGTAACCTAACAGCCAGTAGAAAATGAGGCAGCCTCGTTTTCTATTGGCTGATGTTTATCTGGCCTCAACACGTCCAGTTGATGGATTTTCATTCTTTTTTTTTTTTTTGGTCATCATAATTACAAGGCTGCTGAATCTCTGTAACGGTATTTTAAACTTTCATTGACAATTTGAAATGGACAAACAAACAAAAAAATCCTCATACAACCTTTAAAATCTGCATCATCTGCTTTTCTTTGCGTGATTTCCATGAGGACGGACGGTGTGTGTATGAAGCGCAAAATAACTGTTCAAAGCACAATCAAACGAGCATCTTCATCTACGAATCATCTCTTTCACCTTTCTGTCTCGCTCCTGCACCCCGTCACTTGGCGCTCTACAGAAAGAGTCTCTGTCCTGTCTGGTATCATGTCAGTGTCTTGTAGGATTTCAGCAGATTTCAGGTGGTGTATCGATCAGGTATGAGCGGAAGTCCGACTACTGAAGTTTGAAACATTTTTTCTCGTCATTTACGCACTCACCGGCATTTAAAGACGTATCCCACTCACTAATGTGCATTTAGCATCATAACTTATTTCATCGCACGGAGATAATCTGTTTTAGTGCTGACAACGTCGCTAGATAACCCTGCAACTTCATGGTAAGCGCACAGACAGCGGCGCTTTCTGCACTCAGGCTGCGCACATCCGCTATGGTGATAAACAAATAATCCATCCATATATTTCTCGTATTGTTGTTTAAGCCGCAGGGTTCAAAGTGTGAGTAAAAGGTAGAGGTTTATAGTCCGGAAATTACGGTAATACAAGAATCCCATTTCTGAACATGTTTGTACAAATCAAAACTACAGGAATGCTTATTGGCAGTACTGGTCATATTGGAGTCCGTCTGTCCGTCTGTCCTCTTTTAACAGACAGACCCAGTTCAGAGGTCCACCAAAGGCATGAAGGTGGGTATTCTTGCTGTTCTGGAAGACTACACTGGACACTGGATGGATTTGTTAATGGTGTTCTTATCTGCCTATATGCTGTAGTTGGATCACTCCCCAAAATGTCTTTTCATAAGAATATTTTCCATCGATTATCAGGCTGATGCTGTCCTCCTTCTGAAGACTCACCACCTTCATCGCAAAACTACTGTTCTGCAACTTTGGACCATCAATTTGGAACAAAGTCCGCTCCGTCGTCTCGCCTTTGAAGCCATTTTTTTTCAGGGTGAAGGACCAATTCTGCTCATCAGAGTGGAATTTGACTTGGGCGTAGGCCAGGTACAGACCCTTCCTTCTGCAGTGGATGGAGTTGTTGTTATAGACCAGAGAGCAGGCATCGCACGCCAGATCTGCAGACAAGTCATTGTCCAGTTTCCAGGAGTTCCTATCTAGGAATGTAACAATAACAAATTTTGCTAGATGATTAATTGAACAAGACAATATTTTGATAAACAATAATATTGACAAAACAACAAAACATTTAAGACAGAAACTGCAAAACAACCAAAAACAATAGGCCTAAATAAAATAGACTTGTTAACACAGGACTAGTCTAATGTAGTCTGTCTCACAGCAAGGACTTGTTAACAAAAATGCACTTGAATAAACCACTGTTGAACCAAACACAACCAAAACAATAAATAAAATGGATTATTATGTCTCTGTAACAAAATTGCCCTTAAAAGTGATTTTAGTCACTGACTTCCATTAGAATATTGGGTCTCATCTCTCCGTGGCTGCTGCTGTGAGCCTCGGCATTTTGGTCTTAAAATGTTCATATTAACCTTTCGTTGTTTTGTCCGTCAAAAAAAAAAAAAAAGAATCCTCTTCATAATATAGAGCCTAACTCCAAATTCATTCCTGTAACTGTTTCATTTGAGTGGAGCTGAACCACAGAACTCTAATCAAATCTGGAAGATGAATCCAAGATGGTGTTGTATTGTTTTCAGTGGCCTGTGCTCATTGGCACATGGGCCCAAAAATAATTTTCTCTTCCACATTTACTTCCTCAGTCCAGGCGAGCTCCTCCCACCCGTGTGACGTCTGTAACATGCACGGTGTGGAGCCTTTGAACCAATCAGAGTGAGAGCTGCTAGAGTGGAGCGAGCGCGGCTCAGAGCGGCGAGGCTCAGTCTGACAAAGATCACTTTTAGACAATTTGAGGATTTAAACATTTAAACAAACAGTCTTGTGGGATTGCAGCAGGTTTCGGGCTCTCCGGGGGGCGAGTTGTGTCGATCGGGTACGGGTGTATGTCGGCTGCTTGAGCCATTTCTTTCCATTTGATGCATGTGGCCGTTGAGACGTGTCCCACTCACTAGTGTTGATTTGGCATTGTGACTTGTTTTGTCACACACAGATTAGAGATGCGCGGATTAACCGCGGTATCCGCGGTTAATCCGCGGGTTGGGCGGATGACGTGACGAAAAATTATATTTTAATTAAATTCGGGCGGGTGGCGGTTTAACTACTACAAAAAAAAAAAAAGTTATTGTTAGTATTGTTACCTACATTTGAAAAGACGAGTGTCATTGTTTATGCTTGTAGTATGAAGTGTACGTCATGTCCTTAATTAGCCCATTTGACCTCGTTTTTATGTTCTGAAGGTTCAGGTTGTGTCGGGTCATTGATGCCTAAGGTTTACGAGGCACATATTATATGCAGTTTATTTTATTATTTCTAATTTATTTCAGCTGTTTGCCAACACATAAGTGGCTATAGGGCCAGATTTATTTAGTTATGCATATTTTTTCTTGCCTATTTCAATTGGAATATAAAGAGGGCATTGCCTGATTTCAATAAAGGTTCATCTGGATGAGATGATCTGTCTGTTTTGTTTCGATATCAGTTATATTTTAAAACACGCAGACATTATAGCGTAGACTGCCACTCGGGGGATTTAAAACTTAAAGAAAGACCGATGGAGTGAGGCTATGACTTTGAAATAACATCGGGCAATGGCAGAATGTTCAGAATGTAACAACATCCAACACGAAGGCAAGAAGGTTTCAAAAATAGCCTAGTCGGAAAACGTTGCCAATTAATTAGCTGCGTAAGAAAACCAGGTAAGTTTGGGGTTGTTACGGACAATTAAGAATGTGAACATACACGCTGAGAGAATTTTGGAATGAATGAGCTATAGAATTTGCATTTTTATCGAGGCTCCTTAGTTTGTTTGCTGTATGATTGTTCTAAAATCTAAAATCAATCGGCGGATGGCGGGCGGGTGTGGTTTTGAAAACCTTCGGTGCCAAAATGGACAGCGGGCGGATGATGAGTTTTGTGTCGTGGTTGCGGATGAAAAAACAGCCCATCCGCGCATCTCTAATACAGATGAACTGTTTTGGTGCTCTGACGGCGGCGCTCGCGTTGCGGCTTCATGTGAACAACACAGACAGCAGCACTTTCTGCACTCTGTCTAAATAATAACTAATAATCCGTCTATACCATGGATCCATGGTCTATACAGTCTATGCTGACACGCTGGTTCAAGCGTCATTACGCTGAGGAAACGAGAGGAGTCAGTGGAGAGCGATAGAAGCCTCTTGACATCAGACTCTGTGATAGAGCGAGAGAGAGACGAGGAAAACAAACAAAAGTGCTAGTAGAATTTATTGAGCTTGTTAAAAGTTATGTGAATTATTGATTTATTGGTTATCATTACAGGCCTAGTCCCAGGCAAGACCAGGACTGGACCAGGACCAGACCAGAACTAGACCAGGACTAGACAGGAGTCTGGACTGTATAAAGAAGTGAGTGTAACATCACATGATCACATCATGTTGTCAATGAGCAGCTATAGCGGCAGATTTGGAGCCTATTTGGAATTACGACATGAGTATCATAGCAACCAAAGAGCCAATCCAGAGCAAGGTTGTTGAAGGTAATGCCCCTTCCCGCCTGCTCCGCTGGTTTGGCAGGGGACAGGTGCTTAGTAATGCTGTCAATCAAACCTGTTGCTAACAGTAGCAGGAGCGACCTTGGGAAAGTTCCTGATCTGTTTGTTATTAATGTTCATATGTTGATTTAAGAACAAAATAATGAAATAAAAAACAAACAAAAAAAAAAACAGATCAGGCAGAGTGGTTAATACGAACATTTTAAGACCAAAATGACAAGTCAACAGAGCTAGATGTGCGGCCATGTTCACTTCCTATTTGAATACGGCAACCAGCAGGTTAGATATGTCCATTTATATACAGTCTATGACGAGGACTAAGACCTGGACCCGAGCTCAACCAGGACTAGACCAGGGTTGAACCAGGTTGGATCAACAGACATCACATCAAGCAAACTGAGGCCTATCTATATCTAACTTACTTTAGTCTCGTTTTGGGACTAGCCCAGATTTGAACCAGGACTGAGCCTGGACTTAACCAGATCTAGACTAGTGCCAAAGCTTAAACCAGCACAAAATTGGGACTTCACCAAACTAAGAGCTAGAACTAGGGATGGGCATTCGATTGAATTTTCTTAATCAATCGCCGGGAGAATTAACGATCAATTATCGATTAATCATTAACGTTTTTATATTAAAATGATCATAATTATTATTACTATCTGCACTACTAATCTGCATAAATAAATTCAACTTTACGACATATAAACCGTAACGACTCTAGAGCCACATCAGCCCGTTTGACATTATAATGTTTAATGCAGCTTTGTGCAAGTCTCACAGAAACGAAACCACATGGCTCATTTGCATAAACTAAGCAAAGAAAAAAAACAGTTCTTGTGTCGCTGATGTGGTTCAACTTCTGTTGGATTAATGGACACAACTCAGTGGAATACAGGTTAGTGTGACCATATTTGAGTTTGTTAAAACCAGGACAGCGTACGGGGGGAGGGGGGCGGGGACTTGTCATCGGCATTGTGCTACTCTCACCTGGCAAAACTTTTTTCATGTTTTTCAGTGTCCTGGTGAACTTTTTCCCACTGGACACTGAAACATATGTGATGCTTTGTAAATTGTGCACATGACCTCCCACTTGTCCCAACCGGAATGGAAAGTGTGGAATTTCTTGTACAAGTCATCGTTAAATACGCATTTGCACTTCAGCACGTTGCAGACTGACCGACTGTTTGTGTCTCGCTCCTTCTGAGAGCAGAGACACACATGTACTGACACCTGTTTGGTCACACGCTACACTATGCACAGCAACCTACATTTAGATTGTGGATTAAAAATGAGCGTAATCAGTGAAATTCTTAATGATCAATTATCGATTAATCGACTAATCATGCCCATCCCTAGCTAGAACTAAGCCCAGATTTAATTGGGACTCAACCAGGTTTTACCCAGAACTAAACCAGGACTTACCTGGGATGAGCTGGATGTAGGACAGTGAAGGAGCTGTAGATGGAGGAACACTGCTGTTAAAAGCTGCAAAAAGAAAATAGATCTAAAATAGTACAGAACAAACAAAGGTGTGGCTGTTTACTGCAGGTGTTCCAATCATTGGGGAAGGTAGAGCAGGGTTGCTCAATACGTCTATCGCGATCTACCAGTCGATCGCCAATGTCGTGTGGGTAGATCACTGTGTCTCGTCTCGGACTCGCGTTTGGACTCGGTCTTGTCTCTCACTCAAGCTCTGACACTCAACAAGTGCGATCATATTTCGTTACGGCCGCTGCTGTTGGTAATAAACTTGTAGCGGGTGCAGGAGCGTGTGGGGCGTCTCAGTGCGATCTGTGCGCTCATTTGAAACCCGCAGAGACTCTACGTCACATCACAAACACACACGCTCCCTATGCACGGCTCGTCTGCAACAGCGTGTGCCCTCGTGTACCAGCGGGCATCACAGGGCAGGTTCAACTTCCTAAACATTCTACCTGTCCATCTGCCTCACGTCAGCACGCCGCCCCTCGCCTTTTCACGCTCTCGCTCCTTCCTGCGTACAGCGAACACAAGCCCCTCCCACAGTGCGCGCTGATTAGAAGAGCAAGACCAAACGTGAAGCAAAAACGAGTTTAAATTTGTATTAGAGTGTTGGCACAAAGCAGGTCTACAGCATAGAGCGGATCTACAGAACAGACCTACTGCCACATTTGGCTGAAGTTTGTCTAACAAAAGTGCACAAATGCTTCTGTGTTTGTCACGATGTGCGTTTGGTTTGGTAAACGTGCAGAGGCTGGTAAATATCACTGCAAAACCAGAAAAGAATGAAACTCCAGTTTGGAACTTTAAAAAACAGATTTAAAAATCTTCCTTCACTTTTTTCACAGTTTTGTGTAAAGTGCCAGAGGAAGTTCTCTTAAAGAAGGGGTTCTCAAACTGTGGGTGAGGGTCCAAAAAAAGGGGCACAGAGTGTTTCAGTGCAGTTTGCTTGGCTTTGTATTAGGCAGATCATTTTGACTTGGTCATTTTGTAAGTAGCTCACATGATGAAAAAGTGTGAGCACCCCTGAGGTAGAGGGTGCTCTTGGAAAAAGGATCAAAACTAAAACACAACAGGACTCCAGGCACCCCAAAGAAATAGAAAAAGTTTAATCGCACGAGGAAAAATATAGTAAAAGGCCTTTAGCCAACATGTTTCGACTTTAACTGGTCTTCATCAGGGCTTAATGAATGAAGACCAGTTAAAGTCGAAACATGTTGGCTTTGGCCATTTAAATAAAGGCCTTTTACTATATTTTTCCTCGTGCAAATTTCCTTGTACTCTTTTTTTCTTCTTTGGGGTGCCTGGAGTCCTGTTGTGTTTGAGATCTAAAATAGTATTCACAAATTTCAAAGGCTACATTCAGACTGCAGGGCTTAATGCTCAATTCAGATTTTTTTGTGAAATCCGAATATTTTGAAAGCTGTTGATGCCCTGTGAGAACACGGGCAGTTTGAATTCCCAAAATGCATTGCACTCTGTGGGAGAATTCTCTCTGGGCCCAAGCTCCCGGAGCTGAGAGACAAAGGGGGGAAGGGGCTCATCCAGTTTTAATTATAAATCCATGAGCCCAACGCTGTGGGTGAAATCCAATTTTTTGGTGGTCTTTCACATTTCCAATTAAATGTGACTTGTATGTGAGCTCAAAAAGTGCCACAAAAGTGTCCCGCATGCACACTGGAGGACATGACTTGTCTCCCAAAAAAAATGAACAGGTTACACGTCCATGGCTGCTTCGTTTGTTTGAGTCTTTAGCCTTGTTGTATTCGACTCGCAGGCTCTTTATGTTTCGTTGACATTGGAGTCAGGACCACCTGTAGCTGCGCTGGTGCATTTCTTTGGCAATCATTTCAAAACATTTGGCCTGAATATAGCGATAACCCAAATATTAACAAACTCACTATCCTCACTTTCCCTCCATTGACTAGACTCCGAGCCTGACGTGTAGGCGGGATGAATGTGACCTGGACGTTCAGGCTGAAGTCGCATGTCAAAAGATCGGATATGTATCGGTTTTAGGAGCACATATCCAAGTGGTCTCCTCCTTAAAACAAATAAGCTGTACATGTTCTGGCTCCGGTACGAGAGGAAATTTAAAGGGCCCATCTCATGCAAAATAAGTATTTTCACGTTGTATCTTCTGCACATAAACAAGCACAATTTGGGTTTTGGAACATTCATTACACAATAGTTATGAAATCTTACTGATTTCTTGGAGACAGTCACAGACCAGGAACTATGAAAGGCGGACTATTGCTCATCCAGGGATCTCAGAGAGGAAGGGGGAGACAGGCGTGCACCCTGATAGTGTTAAGAATAAACTTTTATTCATCATGGAGATACAGCGAGTTCAGCCGCATGTGTTGGACCCGGAATTGGACGAGGACTTTGAGGAGCACGAAGCTCAAGCACCGTGTCCACATCAGCAAAACATTACTAATTGGTAAAGTATTAATAGACACTAGTGGATCAACTTATTATATTGTGTACACTGCAATCCTGGTTTAATCCTCCTCTTCAGTCCTGGAATCAGTCCTAGGTTAGTCCTGGGTTAGTCCTGGTTTAGTCTTGGTTCAGTTCGTGGCAGCGCAAAAGTCTGATATAATCATGGGTTAACGGGCGGGTGCGGTGTTTTACTGCGGGTCTCCAAAAATGAACCCGTGCAGGACTCTGCGTTGTGGGGCTCTATTACGGAATAAATGAATCTTGGGTTCGTTACATAAAGAAGGAGGAAAATAACAAAAGGACGACAGCAGCAATAAGTTTTAAGAAGGAAGTAAAAAGGGCTGTAACTGTCCTGTCTGAGAAAAGTGTATAAAGTGTGTGCTGAGGGGTTTTACAGCCTTAACACAGATAGAATAAATAATTGTAAAATATAAAGTTGACTACTTTGCGGATTTCACGTATCGCAGGTTATTTTAGAACCTAACCCCAGCGATAAACGAGGGACACTGTAATCTCACTTCGCACCCGGGGCACATGGCCTCCCACTTGTCCCGACCGGGATGGAAAACTGAGAATTTCTTGTACAAGTCATTGTTAAATACACATTTGTGCTTCAGTATGTTGCAGACTGACCAACTGTTTGTGTCTCGCTCCTTCTGAGTCACAGACTCAGACGCTCGGTTTAATGCCCCCAATGAAAGGTAATGAAAACCCGGACATTTGCACGCCCAGGACAGGACGCAGAAAACAGACATGTCCGGGGAAAAATGGACGTTTGGTCACCCTGTCAGAAAAGTTACATAGTGCAGCTTTAATACCTGGTGGACCTGGTGGACCTGGTGGACCTTGTATGACTGGAAAGTTTTTTTCCTGTAAAAAACACACAGAGACACAAAGACATAAGTTCATGCACGTTCAGGAGTCTAACCCACAACCTCCTCACAGTGACACAGGGAGAACACTGACCCGAGAAGTAGTATTCTGGTTGGCTGTTGTCGTTGTCGGTGCTGGTGTTGGTGAAGGTGGTGCTGATGGGGGTTTTGTTGTTATTAACATTGTTGCCATGACGATTACTGCCACGGAAAGGGCTCCACACCAGAGATGCAGAAAAAAAAACTGTCTGGGCCTCAGCTCGGCATCCATCCTGAGAGGACAGAGAGAGGAAGAGAGGAAGAGGATGAGAGGACAGAGAGGGAGAGAGGACGGAGAGGGAAAGGAAAAGTAGAAGAAACAGAGGAGGCAGAGAGATAAATACTTGATCGATCTCAAATGAAATTCACTTTTCGGTAGCAACAATAAAACTACAGGTGGGGTTTGCGGGTCAGGTGTGTTACGACACTGAGTCTATTATATGACCAATACAAATATTTACTTTATTTATTTAAAAATAATAATAAAAAAATAAGAATATGTCAGTAAATGTCAATAAATATGAATCCTAGTCTGAACCAGGACTAAACCAAGTCTAAACCAGGACCGAACAAGGACTAAACCAGGACTAAACCAAGTCTAAACCAGGACTGAACAAGGAATAAACCAGGACTAAACCAAGACTGAACCAGGACTGAACAAGGACTAAACCAGGACTAAACCAGGACTACACCAGGACTGAACCAGGACTGAACCAGGACTGAACAAGGACTGAACAAGGACTGAACCAGGACTAAATCAGGACTAAACCAGGACTACACCAGGACTGAACCAGGACTGAACAAGGACTGAACCAGGACTAAACCAGGACTAAACCAGGTCTAAACAAGGACTAAACCAGGACTAAACAAGGACTAAACCAGGACTAAACCAGGTCTAAACAAAGACTAAACCAGGTCTAAACAAAGACTAAACCAGGTCTAAACAAAGACTAAACCAGGACTAAACCAGGACTGAACCAGGACTAAACCAGGTCTAAACTAGGTCTAAACCAGAACTGAACTACATCTAAACTAGGTCTGAACCAGGACTTGAACCAGGACTAAACCAGGACTGAACAAGGACTGAACCAGGACTAAACCAGGTCTAAACTAGGTCTGAACCAGGACTGATATATCGTTTGTCTGATTTTTTTAGTTCAATCTCCAGCACAGGTTGATCTGCTGCTTAAAAAAACACAAAGGTTATTGTGGTAAAACGGCTGCATGGAGCTCTGCACACTCCTCGTCCTGAGTGATGAAGGTTTTGGAAAATCATTTGTTCCATCAGATTTTGAATTTTAAATGCCGTTGAATTTCTCACTTTGAATCAGAGCTGCTCGATTATGGAACAAATCATTATCACAATTATTTTGGTCAATATTGAAATCCTCAATATTCAAAGACTTTTTTTTTTTTTAAAGTTACACGATGCATTTATTCAGCATTTCTCTCTAAAAAAAACACTTTGTTATTGATCATGTACGCAAAATTTTTTAATTCAAAATAAATTCAGGCTACAAATATAGAGCAGTTTTGTGATGTATAAAACATAATGTGAATAAAAATTAAAAAAAACTTTGAACATGAAATAAAGCAGAAAAACATAAATGTATCCAAAATAAACGATATATCCAGTTGTTCTACAATCTCTATATTTAAACATAAAATAAATAAACTTATTGATATAAAAAATATTCCCCCAAAAATCTTTACTTCAGCTTAAAATTGTTTCAAGTCGATTATGTTTTAAATGTTTTAACTCTGAAAAAACATGTTTGACTTCTTTTTATTCTGAATTTTAGTTCCTGAAATGTTAAGTGTACATTTTCAAAGTGTTTAAATTCTAAATAAAAAATCACCCTTTTAAATATTCAGCACAAATACAATATATTCAAGCCCTCAAAGTCAAAATTCAGAGTGTAAAATTTGCAGTGAAGATCCAAGATGCCAAGGCAGAAGCAATCGATCCAAAGTGATCCCATTTAACTTAGTAACAGCAGGAAACGGTGCAGTGAAGCGATGTGATTGGTCAGAATTCACCTCATCCAAAGCTCATCTCTTTGATTTCTTCAGTGTAAGCCCCGCCCACAGAACGGCCAATAGATGCATCAAGAATCTTGGACTACTGGTCATTGTGTAATTCATACTGGGAAGGATTTTCCGAAAAAGTGAGCATCAAACCTCCATGTTTGTTTTCCCAGTGGGATGTGTCTATTGATAAAGTTGATCTTTTCAAGTCTTTTGAACCATATCACTTTTGTTTCTGGTTCTGATATTGTCATATTTTAGTTTTGGGATTTGGACATTGTAATTGTGTGGTTGTTGGATCCTAACAGTGGAAAACGGCTTGAGAAATGTGTTTGCGAACTCCATAGATGCAAAAGGGAATCAGATGTGTGTGACTCAAACCTCTGTTCAAACTGTTTCTCTTCCCAACGGAATTGAAAAATAGTGAAAGGCGAAGGTGATGAGGAGATTGATCCATGGGAAAGACAAAAAAAAGGAAACCTTTGACTGTCTAGATCATCCCGAGTTTGTAGTGAACATTTTGTATGTGGATCAAAGCAGGGTCCCGTTTGTTAAGTGAGAGGTGCAGAAGACAAACACACTGAGCTGCACTTTCTTGTTCTTGTGGTTTTACAGCAACATTAAGTCTTGGTCTCTTTGCAGTGGAAGGTGTTTCTTGATGAACAGTTGGTGCCTTTTGCTTTGGTGTTGACTTTTAAATTCGTAACCAAAGTGGAGCGAGGGATCGGGATTCTGCATTGATGGTGTTCCACATACAAATGTTCGCTGCAAATTCGGTATGATTTAGGCCAGGGGTGTCAAACTCATTTTGGTCTGGGGGCCGCATCCAACCTACTTTGATCCCAAAGAGGCCAGATCAGAAAACTCATGTCATATAAACCCCAAAAATAACAATAAGTTCAAATATTTGTGCAGAGAAACACAAATCTATTACAGAAATCTTTTTTAATTGATGAACTCTTTCTTTTACAAAGTATTATAATGTTATGAACAACCTGAAACTTTAAGAAAAATGCCAATTCAACACAATGTTTTAATATGAACTTGTTTAACATGAACTTGTATAAATAGGAATAAGTAATTTTTTTGTTGTAAAATCCTGCACTCGGCTCCACTTTTCTCATGTTGGACATTTTTCTGATGAGGGTGTCACGGTCAACAGTCAAAACGATCGTCCTTTAAGAGCGTTTGGAAAGAGACAAGTCTTCATTTGTGCTGCTCTGGTGGGAGGGGCCACGTACAGAGACGCTGGAGATGCTGCTATGCTCAGTACTGCAGAAAATTAACAATATTTCATAAAAAATAGAATTAAAATATTTTAGTAGAAAATCTGCCGAGGGCCAGATTAAAGGTCTTGGAGGGCCGGATCTGGCCCCCAGGCCGCATGTTGTACACCTGTGGTCTAGTGTATTTTGATTTCTAACCTAGTTGCTGGAGAGAAAAGAAATTGAGTGGAGACACTAGGTGGTGCCAGCCTGGCTACTTGAAAATATCTGTGCTGAATGTTTAAAAGGTGAAATTTTTATTTTGAGTTTGAAATATATTGTATACAAGTATAAAATATATAAATATATATAAAAATATATAACATTTCAGAAACTACAATTCTGAATAAAAATAATTTAATATTTTTTTCAGATTTAAAAAATTCTAAAGTGATCAATTCAGTGGTATTTAAAATTCAAAATCTGATGGAACAAATGATCTTCCATAGAAGGTAAACTAACTGAGCAGGTTACATCTTTTCAGTGTTTGTCTGTGTACATTGATCTTTTGTTCAAATGGAATGACACCTTGATTTTCCAGAGGCTCCACTTTTTTAAGGAGACTGAGGCTGTTTGGTGTGAGCACAAAAGTCATGACCTGTTTACAGTGTTGGGGAGTAACAGATTACATGTACCAGGATTACATAATCAGAGTACAAATTATGAGTAACTGTATTCAGTTACAGTTACTGTTTCAGTGAGTGGTAATTGGATTACAGTTACTTTGTTGAAATAAATAGATTACATGGCGGTATTTTCCGGTTTTCACGTTTTGGGCTAAACAGGACTAAAACCAGGACTAAACCAGGTCTAAAAGCAGAACTAAAGCAGGACTAATGTAGGACTAAACCAGGTCTAAAACCAGGACTAAACCAGGACTAAACCAGGTCTAAACAATATGACACTAACAGTAGGTGAACATAATTGAAGGCAGCAGTGATCTCATATAAAAATCATTTCTCTATCAATAATATTTTTGATATGCTTAAGTAAAGACTGGGCTTTTTATTTTCTTTTAACAGACAAAACAAAACATCCCAGGTTAAGATTTCCTGGTCTTTGCTTCTCTACAACAAACATTTTCTTATTCACGAAGACCTCTGCTCAACAGAGAATTTGAAGAGAACAAGAATTTTCAGGACGTGGTTGGTACATTCATGTCGTTTTAAAAAGCATAACAATATGAAGTAATCCAAAGTATTCAGATTATGTTACTCACTTTAAGTAATTTAATGGATTACTACATTTTGGTGTATGTAATCTGTAATCTGTAGGGGAATACATTTTAAAAGTAATCTTCCCAACACTGCCTGTTTAAGAACGCTGTTTGGAAAGTTTGATACGCTACAGTACAGTCACCTGGATCAACTTTAACTAGAAAACTGGTAAGTAAGGCTCTGATGTCAAGTACTTTTTACTACTCCTCATGGTCAGGTCAAACAGGCTGTAACTCATGAGTCACTTGTCTAGCATGTTTCCTTCACACAAACACAGTTGGAGATGTGTTTTGTTTCATTCAAACTCTGCACATTAAGGCTGAGTTCTTCTCTCAAACTGAAAACACTGTTCCACCTTTTGACGACATGTGAGAATACAGGAAGTGCTCCACTGTGTTTTTAAACTCCACACACCTTCACTAGAATCACTTGGATGATTTCAGCTCCGGAACAGACGTTTTTATTTCTGAAACAAAAGGTAAAAGGAGCTGTCCACTTGAAAACTACCTCTTCATGACATCACAAGGTGGAACAGAGCATGTTGAGCTTTGGAGATGTACACAGACTGATAATAAAGTGTTACTCAAACATGTGAATGAAACAAAACACAACCCCAGATCTGTTTTTGACAAGATAACAAAAAATGCATAAATAAAGTTCCAAACATCAATATTTCAGAGTACTTTTTCTTGCAGTGTATGTGTATTCCTACCAGAGTAATATTTTTAATTGAAGTAACAGTACTCTTACTTGATCAAAAGTTGTGCTTCCTCTTCCCGCTGCATGTGAGTCAATCTAAAGTGACAAAAGTGAAATGGTTTGAACATTTGTGTTTCTTGCAGCTCGTTCACATCTGATTTTGTGATTTATTTCCTGTTTTGTCCTTCACATTAAGCATCGTTTTATAAGTGAGCGTGAGGTGGACAGTGGCATGGTCAGAATTTTCGAGGGGTGGCAGGGATGTGGAGCTCCCATGTGCGCGGGGGATGTTTGTGAACTAAGATTTCGTGCGCCTTTTGCGGCATTTCCGACGCGGCGCAGGTGACAGTCTGACATAGTCCCTCAGAAGAGAAAAGTTACGCACAGACGAAGTGATTCCAAACACGACAACACGACGTCTCCACACTGTAACTTGCTTACACCGGCCATTTTTAATATAAACACAAGAAAATCCATCCACGCGCAGCAGGTACATGGAGTCTCCACAAGCGCCGGGATTTGTACCAGTGACTGAAGAGACTGAACTCGTCCGTCTTGTCTGTTAAAAAGCGAACATTATTCAGGGTCACAGAGGGAAGCGGGGGTCTGTTGGCTCTTCTGCGCAGCACCTGCCTCAAGCCTCCGCGTCTCCCTCTTCCTCCGCGCCTTGTACTCCCACAGATTCCTTTACAACTCCTTGGATTTTCCGTTTGGGATGGTGCACTCCGCGTCTTCCAAGGCCACTAGTGTTGGCGAGGAGAAGCACCTTGCTCCCTGAAGGCCAAGAAATCTGAGTGCCACTTTTGCAAAGAAGTTCGTCATCACCCATAGCAGCAGCAAGAGCCCAGCAGCAGCCTCAGCGCGGCGTGTTCCAGCCCGTCACATCCTGGTCATAACCCGATCATAACCCGGTCATAACCCGGTCATAACCCGGTCATATCCCGGTCATATCCCGGTCACTATCGCACCCGCGGGATCTCCAGGAAGATTAGGCAAACAACAACACAAACACAGAGCGTAGACTGTTGTTTCACTCATACGACGCCACAGCGCAGCACCACCGCCTCCTAGAGTCACACACTACTGCAGTACTACAGTAATACAGCAGTACTACAGTTGTACAGTAGTACTACAGTAGTACAGTAGTACAGTGGAGCTGGATGGAGCAGCACATGCTCTGTGTGGGGAGCAGCTGTGCTCACACTCACACATTTATTTGACTTTGATTTTTTTTAAATGAAAAAAAAAAAAAAGAGAGAGACTTGAAAGTGAAATGAAATCAGTGTTTTCAGAATGCCCTGCTACAAAAGCCTACACACTTGTATTAACGGGAGCCTTCTTTAAAACACGTCAGGTGTGAGTGTTTAAAAGAGAAATACTGACAAAGATGCATCTTAGTCCATTTCACACTTAAAGATCTCACATGGAGATAGTGAGAGTAAAACAGCACATTTAAGGCAACAACAGGTTCTAACATGAACAACAGTTAGTCAAAGAGCAGTTTAAGGTGGAATGTGAGTCATAATTTGAGAGAAGACTGAAAGATAAACTATAAATAAATAAAAAATAATAAAAATAAATAAATATATTAAACTCATCTATAAAACAGATTCATGTCAAAGTTTACTGCACTCACCTGTCAGTGCTCCTGTCTGTGCTCCTGTCTGTGCTCCTGTCCCCTCCGTGTCTCTGTTGTGAGTGAGGGACTGAGGAGCATGTCTCGTGGCCTCTTCACCTACTTTGGAGTTTCCCAAGAGCGTGCGTACTCACGCATGCACCCTGCTGCGCCTCACCACCAGGGGGCACCAGAGAGACTGTGTCAGAGTCTGTTGACCCACAGAGATGAGAGGCAAATGAGAGAAGGAGGGAGGCTCAACTGACTCTTGTGAGCCATGTAATAATGTTGTTTCCTCATCACAGACCAGGAGAGGATATTCCATCAAAGTGCCTTAACAAATCCAGACTTATCCTTAAATCCTGAGCTGAAACCAGCTCCATCTCCAGTTTAAGCCTCAACTTGCTCCATGACAGAAATAAGTCTCTGACCAAAGCTCATTCAGGCCTGGTGTTTAAGCAGTGAGTTTTGAGAGCTCCCTCTGACTCTGAAAAGACCAGAGCAACAACACCATGAAAAATGGGCCAGAAATGTGATGTTTCTTATGATTTGACTAAATGAGAGAAGAGCCACAGCGCGCACCCGCAGAGTTTGATTTGGACCACAGAACATTCCCAGTCATTCTAATGTCCCCCTGTCGCTCCTCTTCCTCCCCTGTCGCTCCTCTTCCTCCCCTGTCGCTCCTCTTCCTCCCCTGTCGCTCCTCTCCTCTTCCTCTCCCTGTCGCTCCTCTCCTCCCTGTCGCTCCTCCTCTCCCTGTCGTCCCTGTCGCTCCTCTCCCTGTCGCTCCTCTTCCTCCCCTGTCGCTCCTCTTCCTCCCCTGTCGCCTGTCGCTCCTCTTCCTCCCTGTCGCTCCTCTTCCTCTCCCTGTCGCTCCTCTTCCTCCCCTGTCGCTCCTCTCCCTGTCGCTCCTCTCCCTGTCGCTCCTCTTCCTCCCCTGTCGCTCCTCTTCCTCCCCTGTCGCTCCTCTTCCTCTCCCTGTCGCTCCTCTTCCTCCCCTGTCGCTCCTCTTCCTCCCCTGTCGCTCCTCTTCCTCCCCTGTCGCTCCGTGGACAGGGAGGAGGCTGCTGTGGAGTGTGGAGTTCGACTGTGTGTAAAAGTGAAGCTGTAATGGAACTCTTTACATGTACTGAACAAGAAACAATGAAATCTGCACAAAGGAGTTTGCAGTTTGACAGGGAGCGGAGACGAGGGCATGAAGAGAGAGACAGGTGTGATGAAGGAGAGAACAGACACAACCCACAGTCATCCTCAGAGTCCAAACCAACATGTGTGTGTGTTTTTACACACAGCTGCACTGCTCTCCACAACACACACATGTGCAACATCAGTGAATGAAATAATACCCATAGGCTTTGATATGGTTTGTGCATTTTTGATGAGTGAAGCGTCCATGCACACGTTTGTCCCATGTCCACACACACACGTTTGTCCTGTGTCCACACACACACACACACGTTTGTCCTGTGTCCACACACACACACACACACACACACACACACACGTTTGTCCTGTGTCCACACACACACACACACACACACACACACACGTTTGTCCCGTGTGTAGGAGTGTATGGACTGTAAAAGTCTCACAAGATGCGAATATAAAAGTCACTTTTTAAACTGTATCTCACACACACAGGTGCTGTCACACAGGTGCTGTCACACAGGTGCTGTCACACAGGTGCTGTCACACAGGTGCTGTCACACAGGTGCCGTCACACAGGTGTGTGATGCACATGGTGAAAATTTGACCAACAGTCTGTTTGTTGGAGACAGAGCTGACATGATGTGGAGAGTGAGTGTGGTCGTGAGCACGTTTGTTTCAGGTGTCTGTTATTGTGTCAGTTCTGCGTCTCTTCAGCTCAGTCACTTTGATGGAACAGAAGATTTGGCAAACCTCGACTGGACTGGCCAAATAAGTCAGGCTTTCACTTTTGCTTTCGCTTTATGGAATTCCATCCTGGAGTTGTGTTTTGTTTGTCACACATGTGTGAGTAATCCTTTATTATGAGTCTGTCTACATCTCCAAAGCTCCAAATGTTCTCTTCCACCTTGTGATGTCATGAAGTGGTAGTTTTCAACAGCTTCTTTTACGCTTAGTTCAGTAGAGATTGGCAATTCCAGGGTTAAAATCATCCAAATGATTCTGGTGAAAGTGTTTGGAGTTTAAAAACACAGTGGAGCACTTCCTGCATTACCACATGACATCACAAGGAGGAACAGAGTTCTGTTTGAGAGAAGAACTCAAAATGTGCAGGGTTTGTGTGTGAATGAAACAAAACACAACTCCACATGTGTGTGTGATGAGGAAACTAGAGGAGAGATGAGAAAACAGCGTGACAGGTTCTTGAAGAACACACATGAAACGACCGCAAATCTCCTCGAGTTACAAACCAGGGTAAAAAGTGTGTTTTCACAGCAGCTCTGAGGTGTGACAGGAGGGCATTCACACTTAGGGCCCGTACAGCAAAAGCTCTATCTCCGCTGGTTTGGAGTCTGGGCCTGGTGTACAAGCAGCTGATCTCATCTCCGGACTGTTCTGGCCGGAGTGTGCAAAGTGAACAATTCTGAGGCTCTGCAGTATGGGGTCTACTCCAAAGGGAAGTGTGACTGACGGTGTGGAAAGCTCCTTCAGGTTGATTAGGATCTTCATGTGTGTGTTCTATGAGCAGATGCACAGCTCAGAGGTGCTGTGTGGTGGAGCACTTGGTGGGCCTGTAACAATAATCAATAAATCAGTTAATCGTAAGGTAACTTTCAACAAGCTCGATAACTTTTCTAGCTGTGAACATTTCTGTTTGTATGCTTGTTTGTTTTCCTTGTCTGTCTCGCTCTTTACCAAGAGACTGAGAGTGTCAAAAGGCTTCTATCACTTTCATTTCCTTAGTGTAATGGCAAACCAAGGCAAGTTTATTTGTACAGTACAATTCATACACAAAGTAATTCAAAGTGCTTTACAGAATAAGAAATACATTAAAATCATAATAAACACAAATCAAAACATAAATAATCATCATAAAATTAAAGATTAAAATTAGAAAAGAGAGAGACATTAATGACATAAATAAGAGAGAAGAGTGCAGAATGAAAACTTTTCAGTCATGTGCACAATGAAACATTTTGAGTCTGGATTTAAACAGCGTCACAGAAGAGTCTGTCTCACATGTTCAGACTGTTCCAGGTTTTAGCTGCATGAACCTGAAACTCTGACTCCCCTTGTTTAGTCGTGACTCTGGGCACCAGCAGGAGGTTGGTCCCTGAGCTCCTCAGAGTGCGAGATGGTTCATATGTAGGGTGACCAAACGTCCGTTTTTCCCCGGACATGTCCGTATTTTGCGTCCTGTCCTGGGTGGCCGTTTTTGGGTTTTTTTTATAAAGTGATGCAAATGTCCGGGTTTTCATTACCATTCATTAAACTGAGCGTCTCTCGTAGTTCTCTGTGATTCAGAAGGAGTGAGACACAAACAGTCAGCCTGCAAGATACCGAGTAGTCAACTTTATATTTTATAACTATTCTATCTGTGTTAAGGCTGTAAAACCCCTCAGCACAAACTTTATACACTTTTCTCAGACAGGACAGGTGCAACCCTTTTTACTTCCTTCTTAAAACTTATTGCTGCTGTCGTCCTTTTGTTATTTTCCTCCTTCTTTATGTAACGAACTGAAGATTCATTTATTCCGTAATGGAGCCTACAGCGCAGAGTCCTGCATGGGTCCATTTTTTGAGACCTGCAGTACAACACCGCACCCGCCAGTACAGGAGCGCACCTGCCCATTAACCCGAGATTATATCAAACTTATGCGCTGCCTATGCCACGGACTGAACCAAGACCAAACCAGGATTAACCTAGGACAGATTCCAGGACTGAAGAGGAGGACTAATCCACGACTGAACTAGGACTAAAACTAAACCAGAACTGAAACAGGACTCATTGTCAGGACGGGCTTGGAGGTGACGCAGGAGAAAGGACCGGCTCAGCTCCGCACCTCACCGAGGTAAACGCGGCAATTGCCTGATCGCACTTTGCAGACAAACTGCTTGAAGTTCTCTCTCTTAAATCCAAGATTAGTCCTGGTTTAGACCTGGTTTAGTCCTGGCCCACCTGTGTGTAATTACTACCTGCCTGTAATACACAATACGCGTTCATACGCTGTAAAAAACAAAAAAAAACAAAACAAAACGGTGCACAAATACATCTGTGATTGTCACGGCGTGTGTTTGGTTTGGTAAATGTGCAGAGGCTAAATCCCACTGTAAAACTAGTACTAACCATGTAACTCCAGTTAGGAACTTGAAAAAACAGGTTAAAAATCCTAATCACTGTCTTCACTTTTTTCAGTTTTCTGTAAAGTGCTACTGAACGTTCTCTTAAAGAAGGGGTTCTTCAACTGAGGGTGAGGGTCCAAAAAAGTTGTTTAAAGTGTTTAAGTGCAGTACAGTTTACTTGGCTTTGTAGTTGGTCGATCATTTTGACTTGGACATTTTATAAGTAGCTCGCGTGCTGAAAAAGTGTGGGCACTCCTGTTCTACAGCATTTCACAGTTCGTTTGGAGAGGTCAGTGAGAGGCCGTTACAGTATCTAACCTACTGGAGACAAACACATGGATAAGTCTCTCCAAGTGACTTTTGCTGTTTTTAGATGGTAAAAGGCTGCAGATGTTATTGATTTGATGTGGCTGTTAAAGTTCAAGTCTGAGTCCATTATTACCCCTAGATTTCTTGCCTGATTTGAAGGTTTTAGAGAGAGACACTGGAGGTGATGCTGACACTGTCCCTTTGTTTCTGTGGACCAAACACTATGACTTCAGTCTTGTCAGAGTTTAGCTGGAGTTCACTGGTCCATAGTCTCCTGCTGCCAGTGAGACGTAGATCTGAGTGTTGTTATATAATGCTGCTTGAACCAGCGTGTCAGCATAGAGTCTAGACCAGGGGTCGGCAACCGGCGGCTCCAGAGCCACATGCTAGCACTCCCCTAGTGGCTCCCTGGAGCTTTTTCAAAAATGAGTGAAAATGGAAAAGGAATGATTTTTTTGGTTGTTGTTTTAATCTGGTTTCTTTAGGGGTAAAACCCTCGT